CCCCCTCTAAAACACAATAAGAAACAACTAATAACATCACTCTAGATTATTTTCCCTTGGCGAAAACATTCTCTGCTATTTGGTTAATCAGCGCGAGAACAAACAGAGATGATCAAAGTGAAAGCAAGAAGAAAAAAAGCTTAAAGCCCGAAAGCCTTTTAAGCTAAAGATGATTTAATTGGTTTGTGGTGGAATTTCATGCCCTACACCAGGGCTATGACCGGGACTGGTGGGGCGGTAGGCATCACTACCACCTCCAATGGTATCACTGTTTGGTTTATTCCAAAAAACTGAAGGAGCTTGTGGACTCCGAGGTATTGTTGGTGTTATCTGAATGTTGTTCCTTGACGCTTCAATTGAGTCAAAGTTGTGTTGCAGAATAAGGAAGACAAGAAAGGTTAACATGATGGTTTTTGGTGCCATGAAATGAAACTGAGTAGAACACAAGACAAGGTTACCTAGCTCAACCCTTACTAACTATAGCGTTATATATTGCTTCAAGAGCAATTTACTGAATGATCTGGATGAGCGAGATGAGAGTGGTATTTAACAAGACTTCCTACTCCTATAGGGCTTGCAACTTGAAGCATTAACTATGGTTTTATGCACATGAAGATGTCCTGTAAATACTATTGGAAATGCAGGAACATATACAGAAGAGTAAGCATTAATGGGAATATATCCAAAAGAAGTTAGTTCAGCATTACCTGGATCCTGATATCCCAAAATAGCTAATTTCTGCAACATGATAGAAATGTTAATTAACAAAATGGTTCTTCCACTAAGTAAAGTATGGATTACCTGATACATACATCTTCTATCTCATCCCCCGGTTTTCTTCGTTTTCATTCTCTAACTTGAGCACGAGATGGAAATTGGTAGAGTGTTGCGAATTAAATATTGCTCTCAATTTGCTTGAAGTGCAGGCTAGGTCACTCCATTTAGGTTATTGTTCAGAATGATAAAGTAAATAAGCAGAAGATCAGATATTGGAACAAGAGTAATGATTAATATTGCGAGTAGGTCGAGCACTCCAAAATGTAATTAAATTATATGTAAATATGACGAATTTCACCTTATATTAAAAATGAATATACGACAGTATATAACTTTTAATGTAATTTACAATAATTATTTGTTAAATAAATTAAATATTTGAATCATAACTGAATGAATTATTGTGATTCAAATCGATAAAAGCAGCTTCCTCTATTACATATTATAATCACGTCAAAAAAATAAATATCTAGATATAAAATTAGATAATAAGAACTTAGGATAAATTTTATTAATGGAAAAATAAAAAAAAATTGCCAACAAAATAACAATTATTGATAAGTTTTACTAACAAAAAACAATTCACGAATTTATTGATAAATTTTATCACAAATTTAAGATTTTAATTATCGACAGATTTACATTTTAATTATCAATAGGTTTAGGATTTTAAATATTGATATTTTTATTGGTAATAAATTCGTCAATATGTAAGTAAACTTTAGTAAAAGTATAGAAATTTTATTATCTGTAAGTAAATTTAGTTGATACCTATTTGTAAATGAGCTTTAAAATTTCTAATTTAATATTAATCATGTCATTGTAAAATTTGTCAGTAAATTTATTAGTAGTTGAATTATTTGAAAATTTGTTGGAAAACTTTTCACTAGATAAATTTGTGAAATTTCGTTGAAAATTTTGTTGGAAATTCGTCGATAAAAATGAATCTTAAATTTTTAGTCAAATATGATTAAATATGATTTATAAATTAAATGAATATGAGTAAGAAGAAGAGAAGGAGAAAGGGAAGAAATAAAAAAGAAGAAGAAAGAAAAGGATAAAAAGGATAAGGAGGGAGAATCATAGGATGTGCATGTAGCAACCACGTGACAATAATGATGACAAAAGGTGACAAATGAACAAGATAAGGATAAAAATAATATAAAAAAAAGAAAATAAAAAAAAGAGGAGGAATAAAAAAAATATCAAATCACAATATTTGTAAATGAATTTTATTAGTGAAAAAAAAATTCTCCAAACTCAACCATAATTATTAATAAATATTTATTGATAATTAGTTACAAATGAATTTAGATCACCCGTGATTACCAACCAATAATTACTAATATGTCATAGTTAATTATCAATAAATTTTTTATTTATCAAAAAACTTTACTAACTAGTATTTTATTAATAAATTGTTTGTTATTAATAAATCATCAATTTTCTTTCATTGACAAATTTTATCCATTAGTAAATATTATCTTTCTTAATGAAAATAATACATTAAAAGAATTAAAACACATAAATAAAATCCAAAACCATAAAAATAAATTTTTTTCAAGGATTGAAAGTAAAATAAAATAATAAAATCCAATTATACAATTCAATTAATATGAGAGTGAAAATAAATTATATTGACTTGGGAGTTTGACTTTCAAAGAATTTTGTTGAGTTGTGAATGAAATATTTATATAACTTCTTATTTGAAAGAGTGTATTGAATAGATAAATTTTTTAATAATATATATTAAATAAATTTAATTAAATAAATTTAATAATATACATTAAATTAATATGTTCATAAATTTATTTATATTTTTTAGGAGTTTATTTTACATATTTTTTATATTCTTATAAAATCTATTATTGTATATATTTTATCTTTTATATTTTACAATATATTAATTTTTAAAACCTATAAATAGTTTTTATATTACTTCTATTTAAAATTTAATTATAAATTTAAATATATTTATTATTTATTTCTTCAATTTTTAAATATATTCTATCAACATCAACTCATCCATAGATAGTGTTTAAAACTAGTAAAAATAATAAAAGTAATGTACACTGAAGTTATTAATAAACATAACATGACTGCTTTAACAAATTTCTAATACCCTTATGGTAACACATTCCAATCAATTTGGGCCATTACATAACAGAGGCCCATTTCTATGCACGTGCATGTATCGATTGGCATCACACTTCACTCTGCTCACCAAAGTCTGCAGCTTCTCTGTTACACGATTACACAACACAAACTCAACTTTCTTCCTTACTCGCGAGTCACTGAACACTGCACTCAACCAATCCAAAACACTCTCCAAACAAAACCCCACACCATTCCCTTCTTCACAACGAATCTCCAATTCCCATTTTTCTATCCACTCCTTCCAATTTCCTTCGTCAACCCAAGCCACTGCTTCCACCGTTTCAACGCAAAATTCAAGCATTCTTGAAGAGCCCTTCCGATGCGCCTCACCGGACCCATTGATCCATGAATCGTAAAATGGAGGCTGAAAACCCCGCAAGGTCGACGGGGTTAAAGTACGCATCCATAAACCCTAACAAACCTCAACCATCCCCAATTCCCAAACCCAACCAATTTCCCTCCCACCTCGACGCGCCCAACGTCTCGTCTTCCGCTCGTGCCCTTTGTGACATCCTCACACGCGCCTCCCCTCACGACATCGAAACCGCCCTCTCCTCCTCGGGAATCGATCCCGAGGAGGACCTCGTCAAAGAGGTCCTCAAACTCTCTTACAACTACCCTTCCTCCGCCGTCAAGTTCTTCCGGTGGGCCGGGCGAGGCAAAAAGCACCCGGCTCATACCTGGAACTTGATGGTCGACCTGCTGGGTAAAAACCAGCTTTTCGAGCCCATGTGGGATGCCGTCAGGTCTATGAAACAGGAAGAGAAACTTTCTCTCTCCACCTTCGCTTCCGTCTTCCATAGCTACTCCGCAGCCGGTAGGTTTAACGAGGCCGTCATGAGCTTCGACGTCATGGACAGGTACGGCGTCAAGCAGGACGTGGTGGCCGTTAACTCGCTCCTCAGCGCCATTTGCTGCGAGGACAACCAAACATCCGTGGGCGTCGAGTTTCTCGAGAGCATCAAGGCGAAGGTGTCGCCTGACGGCGACACCTTTGCCATTCTTCTCGAAGGGTGGCAAAAGGAAGGCAATGCTGCTAAAGCTAAGATCACGTTTGGTGATATGGTGGCTCAAATTGGCTGGAACAAGGACAATGTTGCTGCCTACGACGCGTTTTTGATGACCCTCTTTAGCGCTGACCTCATGGATGATGTTGTCAGGTTCCTTCAGGCTATGAAGGACCATGGTTGCTTCCCAGGTTTGAAATTCTTTACCAACGCGCTTGACGCTCTTGTCAAGCGAAACGACGCCCATCACGCTATCCCTATGTGGGATGTGATGGTCAGTGGCGAGTTAGTGCCTAATTTGATCATGTATAATGCCATGATTGGGTTGCTCTGCAACAATGTTGCTATTGATCACGCCATTCGCCTGCTCGATGAGATGGCTTTCCATGGCGCTTTTCCGGACTCCCTTACCTACAACATGATCTTTGAGTGCTTGGTGAAGAACAAGAAGGCGCGTGAGACGGGGAGGTTCTTCGCCGAGATGATCAAGAATGAGTGGCCCCCTACCGGCCCTAACTGCGCTGCCGCCATTGCAATGTTGTTTGAATGTGATGATCCCGAAGCAGCGCATGAAATTTGGAGTTATGTTGTTGAGAATCGTGTCAAGCCGCTTGATGAGAGTGCGAATGCCATGCTAGTTGGACTTTGTAACTTGAGTAGATTCTCGGAGGTTAAGAGGTTGGCTGAGGATGTGCTTTATAGAAGGATCAAGGTGTATGAATCTACAATGACTTTCCTGAAGGATGCCTTCTATAAAGAAGGTAGAAGTGCAAGAGACAAATATGATAGTATTTTTAGGAAGTGGAAAGCTCATGTCCAGTTGTAATCTAAAAATTAGTTGCTTTTCAACCTTTGTTGCCAAAGACAGGCAGGTTATACTTGTTCTTGACTGTCTTTGATGGCTAAAGTGGTGTTCTGCAACTATTATCATATTCACTCCATGATTGCCTTTCCCTGTGATAATCTTTGTGGTAGTAGTTATATTTCTTGGCTAATTCCTTTTCTTCCACTTATTTTAAATATCTGTTTTTGAGCTTGTCATACTGCAGTTTAGGATCAACTTATTAATAAATCATGAACCATCGGCGGTTTGCATGCAAATTTCTAGAGTTAATTTTCATGACGGGGTGCTCATAATATATAATATTTGGTAGAACTTAAATGCTCTCTGTAAATATTTTCACTTGGCTTGCCTCTCCATGTTTTGGTTCACATTTCTGGTGCAGGCTGTTCTTGTTGGCCTTTTCATTAAAATCATGCATCTTATGACAAAGTTTCACATTGAGTTTCCTTGTTTCATGTTTCTACATGGTTATTTTACTATCTATGTATTTGCATGTCAATTTTCTGTCATCACATTAGAGGCCTTAAAGCTTATGGATTGTTACCCTGTGGGAGATGGGGAAGAGGAGCAAAAGTTCTCCACAGTATAGAGATATGGGAACAGGGATCATAAACCTCACTTGGCAAGTCTCCAAATATTTTAAAAAACAAGATCATCCGTACTCTTAATTCTGTTTATATCCATATATAATTGACAAGTTATCTTTTCTCTTGATATTGAGTGTATAATGTGGTTTTTGATAATTTATGATTATAATTTATTTTCTAATGTTGGAGATTCGCTCACTTAGATAGACATTCCTTATCTACTAAATGAAGTCAGTTGTATGGATTCACGTGTTCTTACTGGGTTGGTAAAGGCCAAATTCTCAGGAATGTTGGTCATCATGGGGCTGCTCTTGACAATTTTATCAATGTTTTATTTTGGTCTTTCTCTCTCTCTTTTAATCACCAAAGACCATGCAACTATTCCTTAGTGGTGTTGCCAGTGACATTTTTCCCATATTCAAACTACCTTATTTGAATTTTTATCATCCTTTTCTCAATTGGTACCACACCAATAAATCCTTGTATTATTAATTAATCGTTTTGTATGTTGTCCTTTCTTGTGTGACCACTCTCATTTATCGTAAAATTTTATTGCTGCTACCCCATATTTTTCTTTCGGTGTCCCCTTAACTTCAACATTCACAAACATTCTTCGTACATGCATAAGTAAAGATTGTGAGAAACCACATTGGTTGGCACAACACAAGTTGGTAGTGACTCGTGTCCTTTAACCAAGTGATTCAGGGTTCAAATCCTAGTGATACCACTTTTCGTATGGAATAAATCATGTTGGAGGGAAATACCCACCTTGTATGCACTTAAGGTCCCAATGATAGTCATTGTTTACGGTGATGAATTAATCCGTACCACTTTTACCATTTTATTGTTTTTTCTTATTCAGTTCTTTCAAAGGTTTGGTATGGAAAGTCGAACTGTGGGTATGTTCAGTTGCAAAACAAGCTGCTCCTGTCCTGCCCAAAACCCCCTTCCTTTGGCTAGAATAATCATGCATAGAATAATCATGGGATATTCTCTTTTTCACTTCCTGCATAGGCTAATCTCATTCCTTTCTCTAGGCATGGCTTATCAATAAAGAACCCTGCAAACGACTGTTGTTTCCTTTACATTAAAAAGTTCTTCCTTTTTATACTAGTGTTTGTGGAATGTAATTGCATTCTATGTCAATACAACAGCTACAAAACTTGTTCCTACTAGGCGTGATTGGCTACATAAATCAAAGAAATTAATCTAATAGAAAAAACTATTGATTTCGATGTATAATTTAGTTTTTATAGATTTTCTCAGTCCCTTCTTTAATCTGTTTAGATATTTGCTTGTAATATGCTTAAATTAAAACACTCAATTTTTGGTCTTGGAGACAGGCAATGTTTTGCTTGTTCTTGAAAGTTCTCAGTTAGCTTTACCTTTCTTTCGAGCAGTGTTCTATGAGTTTCATTGTTTTCACTCCATGGTAGCCTTTCCTTGTGGATAATTAGTTGTCTATGCTGTCTTTCTGTATAATTCCTTTTATTCTCCTTATATTAAAATGATTATGATAATATTAGGCTGATCACACTCGGCTACCTACGATGAACCAAGGGGTTCGTGAATTATATGGGATTTGGGGCTGTTTTTTCTAAATTAAGAAGTCATGATAGAATAATCATAATCATTATAAAAAATTATTATTATGACTTTCATGTAACTATTTGCGTTTGACTATCGGTTTATGATTGTCAACCCAGTCCTAGCATTTTCTCTTCAATTTGTTTTTCGTATTTTTTGTAGGAGGGCAGTTTTCGTGGGCTTTCATGAAAGTTGCGCATGCTTGCTTAGAGCAAACCTGCAGATTAAGTTTCCTTACGTGGACATTTATCATCAGTGCTTTGATGCAAGGGACTCGGCGTATACTCTATTAGATTTTTGTGCATATGTTATTGATAGCATTGCCTTGTTGGTGTAAGTGGGGATTCATGGTACTAGAATTGTGGTCGCAAGATCAAAGTTTTCATGGTTTCTACAACTGTGTCGACAACCGGAATCTAAAACACTCGGACCACAAAGACCCGAAGTGGAGAGAGTTGAATGATAAAATTATCTTAGGGGTGGTATGGGCCATTACGACGGTTTTCATTTTTTATTTTTTTCTTGGCTGTTTCATGCAATTAAATTGTTTCAAATATGATTTTTTAAAAGAATTCTCTGAACATTGTTAGTTGGTCATGGGGTTTTCTACTTTTGAGGCCGCTTGATTGACAATTCCAAAGAGATACACCTTGCTCAACTATTCTTTTTACAGTATGTGCATCATTGAAGGATTTTCTGTAGTCATGTGATAGTTAACTATTGGGTATGTTTATTTGGATCATAATCTGCCTCGTTCCCGCCTCCCCTGGGGCTCTCATTCACAGAATCTAGGTACTTCTGAATCAAAATTCATGGATTATTCCCTCACTCGTCCTCTTTTGCTATTTCTCATTCCTTGTTCTAGCGATGGCTTGATCATCAAAGAACCCAGGGAAAGCTCTGTTCTTCCTTTTAATTAATATGTTCATCCTTTTTATTCTAGGTTTTGAGGAATGAGATTGTATTCTATGCCAATGAGGTGACAAGATTGTGGATCTTCATAGAGGGATATTGTGCATATTGCTGAGTGCTAACATCCTATATTCATTTTTTAGTCCACTTCCTCCGTATTTTTACTTTGGCTTGGTTCAATTCATCTCCCAAATATCCGTAATTCTTAAAAAAGGCTGATATGTTTGATGCAAATTGTCCATAGATTTGGTAAAATTGAGGGAGATATTTTAGAATTTAATGTGATTGAAATTTACTCCTTTATTGAAAGAAGGTCCATATAGTTAAACCAAATAATTCTGGGATCTCGGAATTCATAAACACTCTTGACTCATCTAATGTAGAGCGTGCTAGTAACCTGCTACAAATTGAGAGTATATTGTGTTGATAATTTCTTTTTGATTACTGTCTGCAATCTATGGTTCATCTTTTCCTCAATTTAGCCATTTACTGTAGGGGGGGGGGGGAGGGGGGGGGGGGGGGGGGGGGGGGGGGGGGGGGGGGGGGGGGGGGGGGGGGGGCAACTCCACATAATGGGAAATATGTTATTTGGTCTTTTATTGTTTTTTTGGATGGGAAGATTTGTGAAAGGGAAACTATAATTTCTCTTTCTATCCAGGCTTGCCACAAGATTTATCATGGGCTTTCTGCTGCCTACTTATAATTTACTGACCAAGATGGATGGTTATCAAACATAAGCTGCTCAGGAAAGTGTCCCCGGATCCTTACCAACACCTGGTGGTGAGTGCTTCTGTTTATTACTTTCACTTGTACTTACAGATGTTCCTTGTCACATGGTGACATGTAAACTTTGTATAAATATTATATATATGCTTAAATTTATTACAAATGGTTGAAGCATAGCTCAAACTTAAATCAATTGTTATTCTGGTATATTTTTGTTTACATTAGTAGAGATATCAATTATTAGCAAAACGAAGCACAGCTTAAGATGACAATTGTATTCGTTATACCTAACAGAAGCACTTCTTTGATACAGAGAACTGTGTAAATAATTTATATATTTACTATTGTTACCAACTATAGGATGTTATTGGTTGTTAGGATAACAGTTTACCATTAAAAGAAGGTTACTGCATTTTGCTAAAAAAGAAATAGTTATCGCATTTGAATTGTTGTTGTTTTTGATGCATAATCTCTACTTTAAGACCGCTTGTTTCTGTTTGAAAATTGTTTAGTTTTTCTTCTAAATATGTGAGAAACATGTATCATTCGAAAGACCTTGTACTTTTTACGACTGGGTATAAAATAACTATCCGCCAACAATGAATTGTTGGATTCTTGTGGCTTGACGACATGTTAATGTCGATCTTTCTATGTCATAAAATAAGGTGTCAAAAGTGAATCAGTTGAATTAAAAATAGGTTAACTTAATCTCATTTACTTTTTGGTGAGATTCACTATAAATCCGTGGGTGAGGTGGGTTAGATAATTGACTTAGTTAAAGTTTTTATATATTTTTTTAATTTATTTTATATATTTAATGAAACACTTTCAAAATAGATTGATTCACTCATCTATTTATAGCATTATAATTAAAGTATTATTTATTTCATTATTATGAAAATAATAAGTGAAAATAAAAATATTAACTTATGTAATTAGAAAATAAAATAAATTAAGCAATTAACTCATTTGAATAATGTTTTATTTTTGCTGGCAGGTTATGAGTTCACCGTTTTAACACTTCTAATCATACATAAAACATGCTTTCCTCTGTTACAATAAGAAAAAATATTGATAGAAAAGTAGCATAAATCAAATTGTGGTAAATCCCAAAAAGATGGATATAAGATAGCCATTATAAATGGCTTGTTATGCATCAAAGTGTTATGAATGAAGTCCTTCGGGGTTTATTTCTTATCATATCACAGATCTTTTATGTTCTTTGTAGGTGCCGTTTTCGTTTACATTTATTGAAATTGATAAATTTAAAAAAAAACGTATATAAATGATAAAGGTCTTCTCATCCTTAAATATTAAAGTTCACTCCCATTTCTTTTGTTGTACCTTTTTTTGAAATGATATCTTTTACGAGTAAAATGTGGTCCGTTGTAATTTATACACAATAAAAATAACTTTCTTTACATGAAGGGGTATAAATAATGCAAATGCGACTTCCTTTTAGACATGTTAAAGTGGGCTAAATCTACTTGTATAGATTGTTTTATTATGATTTGAGTTAAAAATGAGTTAATAAATATATTAATAAATTAAAAAAATTAATTTGCTTTATTATGTTTTATTTTTTAATTTATTTTAGGGTTAAGTATGTTTTTGATCCCTTAACTTTTAGTGAAATTTGGAATTAGTCCCTGTTCAAAACTTTGGCCTAATTTAGTCCCCAAACTTTAAAAATGTGTGATTTAGTTTTAGTAGTCCTTTTAACTCAATTTTGTTAGGTTTATTTGATGTTTTAAGTGAGTTTCATGATAGCATTTGAGTTGTTTATAGCATTTGACACATTTTTGCTTCAATGTTAACTTGAGAAATGTGTTTGAAACATCAAATAAAGTTAACAAATTTTGGTTAAAAGGACTAAATTCACATATTTCTAAAGTTTGGGGACTAAATTATCAAAAGTTTTGAAGAGGGACTAATTCCAATTTTCAGGGATCAAAAACATATTTAACCCTTTATTTTATATATTTATGGAGTGCAATCGAAGTAAATATACTTGACCCATTATTTTATAACAATGTAATCAAAGTATTCAACTATATTATTATAAAAATAATTATTGAATTAAATATGAAATTATTTGGTAAACAAATAAATTAAACAATTCAAATTATTTATTGAATAAACTCTAATATTTGAAAAAATTCATTCTCAAACTATATTTTATATATTAAATAATCATAACAATAAAAATGATAAAAATATAATAAAGGATTGTTAACCGTGAATTAAATTAAAAGCGATAAAAATATCGTATCTGCGTAAAAAATCGCGATAAATAATTGATATTTGTAAATAATAAATATTCATATGTAACAAATATTTTGATATTCGTTTAATATAAAAAAAAAATAAATGATAAATATTAAATAATATAAAATTTTTGTGTAGAAAAGAATAATTTCTCAAAAACAGAATATAGTTTCCACAAACAAGTTTCGTTTAGCGTTTAAAAGTATTAAATGGTTCAAGAACTTGTAGATTCGCCGTAGTGTGAAATTGATGCATGTTTGGAGGTGCACAAACAAAGGAGAGAATTTGGTCTGTACAAAACAGTAGAAAAGAATAATCGGGTAGGATTTAGCACTGCAAGTTTGGTATTTTCACCTTTTTGAAAACCAAATAGCAGCTATGATTCATAGTGGTGGAGAAGCTTATGCCATAAATGCACTAGATCTAATGCTTTCAAGGAGGAAAAGAAGATACCAACCTGGAATCAAAATAGAGTTAAAACAACTATAATCTACTTCTTCACTCACTGCAGCAAAAACCATTTTTAGTCCTTCGTCTGTTCATGCTGTTTCTCCATGGCGAAAACCATGCCGAAGTTCAAGGGGAAACTGGTGATGGGTGCAAATGGGCGGACCAACCCTTTGGTGTGGCTGGTGGCGATTATCTGCACCGTGATAGCAGTGGCAGTGGTAGTTGTAGGCATTGCAGTGTTCATTGGGTACATGGTGATCCACCCCAGAGTGCCTGTGATAAGTGTGAACAATGCTCACCTTGACCTTCTTAGAAATGACTATGCCGGTTTGCTCCAAACCCAACTCACCATTGTTGTGACTGCAAAGAATGGGAATGCCAGGGCTCATGCAAGCTTCTCTGACATCACCTTCAACGTCAGCTACCAAGGGCAGGACATAGCGTGCTTGTTGCAGACCCTTTGAGGTGCCAAATAACAGCTCAAAGGACCTCAGCTACGTTTGTTTCATCATCATCCCATACCCTTGATCCTGATCAGATGGAGACGAGTGGGTGATGCGTGGAAAAAGAATGAGATTGAGTTTGATTTCACAGGCGCTGCAAGAACACAGTGGAAGGTAGGACCTTTAGGCTCTGTTAAGTACTTGTGCCATCTAGATTGTGACCTCAAGTTCCGACCTTTGAATGGGACTTACATACCCTCCCGCTGCACCTCCAAATCTCATTGATTCTTAGTTACTGCTTTTTCATATTTCCTTCACTTTCTTAGCAATAAATGTAGATTTTTCAGCTAATGAAATTCTTAATATTTTGAGTCTTGGTTTTTGCAGATGCTTAACTCAGTATGCATCTATATTGTTACTGTTTAGAAAACTTAGTTCACTGAATTAAATCAATCATCTGTGTATAGATATAGAACATGTTTATCAAATTTACTTTGTTTTTGTTGTTTTTCTTTGTTGGTTCAAAGAGGATGATTGGCAGATGACAGATTTTGGATTTATTATACCTTTGTTTAGGTTTATAAGTGCTGATTTCAAGCAAATATTGTAGATGGAAATTGAAATCATCGTCAAGAAAGAGAATGGAAGAAACCAGAAAAAAAAAAGCCTAACATTCATCCAATATAAAAAGTTGTTGAATAGTTTAAATATTTATTTTTTCTTTTGGTCCCTTTTCTAAGGAAGCCTTTCCCTCGAGCCTTGTATTTTCTACACATTTTATACTGTCTTAGTTGTAAGTTTCTACGTATTGCTCCTCTCATAACACTTTTTTAGTTTTTATATAAAATGCTACAATTTGTGTAACCACTGTGAAGTGTCCAGGGTCACATCCCAAGAAAACCTTACCCAATACTAGTTTAAAGCTACCAGAATATTCAATTACTAGTGCATAATGACCAAAAAGTAATAAAAAGAGCAATAAATCTTTTTATTAGAGGTTCATGCGCATTATTGAATAAAATAACGTGTCATTTTTAGGATTTTTTTTAATAGTTGTCTTAAGTTAGTTTAATGTAATTATTGACCTAAACAATTTTCGCAATGTTATTTAAAAAAGTAATTTATATTAACATTGTGGTAGAAAATTTAATTTCTATTAGTTGAAAATAATTTTTATGGACCTCAATCAAATTTGTGAATATAGTTAAGAAGTGACCGGATCGATGGTGGTTGAGAAAACTCTTATTAATGTTAATCTAG